TGATGGTCATCAAATTGCCTGGGCGATTGCGCACGGGAAGCTGGGCCTTTTACATACAGGTGACCCTGCATATTTACAGCAGCATCACTTTCGGCAAGATTGGTTGGAGCACGAGGGTGGTGGTGGTGCACGACCGGCGAGAGCGGCCGGTCCGGTGCAGTGGGTGCTCTCACAATCAGCGCATAAGCATTTTTGTGGTCGGACAGATGTGTGCATGTCAAGATTATTGGCGGGGCACAGAGCAGATACTTGACTGATGAGAAAAAGGTCACGAGATATGATGCAGGGAAACATGAACGTCAACAGGGAGATGACACAATCAACACCTGTCGGGGTTGGTCAATTTAACCTTCTGTCAGGTATTCACAAACATACCGTGAAAACCAGAATCGTACAAGTGCACCAGGCTTTTTGCTGCCTCTATTGGAATGAGAGGACAAGTGCAGTCAACAAACGAACGGCGCCACGGTGAGGTGCACAAGGCACCACGCCTGCGGAAAATACAAAGTGTAGCTCCTATCAAATGCCATTGACGAGACTGTCTGATGCTGTGGAAATTGCCAATCGCGCCCTCACTGCCGCTCGCTGGTTGCGCAGGCCGAGGTGGCCTTGGCCTTCTCGGCCGCGCGCCGTGCCCTGGACGCGGCAACTTCACGGTCGATCTCCTCCAGCTGCGCATACATCTTTGACCGGTCAAACCTGCTCCAGGCGGCGTGCATGTCCTTGACGGGACGGTTGGCCACCAGCACCGCGCTGTTGCACTTGAAACCACTGCCAAACGCAATCTGCCAGACTCGCGCGCCACGACGCAGCCCGCCATTGAAGCACTCGGCGTAGGCCAGCTCGTACCACACGCTGCAGCTGCTGGTGTTGCCAAACTCGTACAGCGACGCGCGGCTGGCCTCCACCATCGCCTTGCCCATGCCCAGGCTGTCCTGCATCGAGTCGATGACGCCGCGGCCCCCGGTGTGGATGCACACCGCGTCAAACGCCTTGGAGAAAGCTGGGGTGTAGGGCTTGCGCCACGCCTCGGGGACTAGCGCCGCGGCGCCTGCGGGAGCCACCTTTAGCGCGGCGCGCAGCATCGCGCTGCCGGCGTACTTGGCCTGCTCAGACACAGGCAGCACGAGCGGCCCCAGACGGCCCATGTTGCGGGTGAGCGCGCGGCCGGCGACACCGATGAGCTCCTTCTTGAGGGCCACGCCCTGCTTCTTCTCAGCGTCGTCCGTCTGCCAAATGCACCCGTAGGCCTCATCGTCGGCGGCCATGATGGTGCGCACGACATGCTTGACGGTGTACTTTGACTTGGCGGCGTCGGCGGGGCGGCTGGAGAGCAGGATGGCGGCGCCGTTGGAGCGGAAGAGGGTGTTGGGCACCAGCATCGACTTGTCAACCCCCGTGTAATAACTGCAGGAAAAAACAGGAGAAGGTGGATGAAATGCAAGGTGTGAGTAGGAAGAAAAGCAATAAAAGTACCTACTCAACCGCAATGAATGTGTGACACGGCGGCTGGCTTGGACGGGTTGATTTGAGGCACCGGCGCCGCCACTGCTGTGCCCCCGGCCCCTACACATGCAAGCACGCCGCGTGGCGGCGTGGAGGGGACACTCACTTGTTGCTGATGTTCTCGTGGGACACGATGAGCGCGTACGATCCGGGGTGCAGCTGCAGCATCTGGCGGGCCAGGTCGAGGGCGACCACGCCGGCTGAGGGGTGGAGAGGGGGCGGGGGTGGGGCGAGGCGAGGCATTGCGAGGGGGTGAGGGGCGGGGTGAGG